AAGCAAGGAGATGAAGTATCTGCCTTGTTTGGCTTCATAAGCATAACTAAAATAGCTTGCCGGAAGCAGACAGAATAGTGGCTGTGAGAAAGAGGGCTATTAAATAGTGAATAAATATGTTCCTCAATGAGGGGCAAAGCTAGACGGAGAATGGCAGTCGGGATCTCGTCGGCACCAGGAGCCGTATTACCTGCCCTCAGTGTTACCTCCTGAACTTCGTCCATGGAAAGTGGTGGGAACGTAATTGAGCGAGTGGTAGCTGTAGGAGTATCTAAGGGGGTATCTCCTGCAACTGCGGGGTTTGTGAGCAGATTGCCAATTAAGGTTTTTCTTTTATCAGGCAAGGAAGTTGCTAAGGGCCGTTGTAGAAATCTGAGGTCTTTGAGAGGGGTGGAGCGGAAGTAACCCGTTGACTTATGCCATTTTGCAAAAGCAAAGATTTCCTTGCCCTTGCTGGCCTCCGCGATTTTACTCGTGAGGCAAATTTCTTTGCCTTATTAATTATATTACGGTACTTTTTCCTTTCTCTGGTGGTATCTTCTTCTGTGATAGGCCCGCGTATAATGTTTTTATATCTTTGGCGAGCTAGTTTACATATCTTGTCTCACCATGGATTGCCTTTAACATGACCTAGTGAGCGACGCGTTGCCTCGCTGTATGCTTTGCGAATGGTTTCGATCGATTTCGTGGCGTACCTATCTAAGGACTGTCTGGTGATTAATGTTGGAATTAAAGGAGGACCTTGGATAGCGGTAACACGGAGTCGAAGGAAGAGCTCGGGGTCCAATGTATGGAGTCTAAGCCTTTGTAGGAGTTCAGTATAGCCCGCCCAATTAACCACAGTGAGAATTGTGACATATTCTGACGTCGTGTCAAGATGTGGGGCAAGGATGCATTTCGTCATTTTTACAAGGAAGCTGGATCCAAAAACTAGGTCAAATACATTTCCACGATCATGCGTTGCTTTGTCTGGGGGAGAGAGGAAAGAGAGGCTATCTTTATCTAACCAACCTATAAATTCTTCAGCACCGTAGAATTTGCTGCTGGGCCATCATGATTGCCATCTGGAGTGATGTAGACTAAAAATACCCGAATGTAAGCAAATTCTCTTTGGAAGGGAGAGGATATATAAGGAGTCAAGAGCTTTATTACTGGAGAGACCTGCGGGTTCATTGTAGATAAAGATGATGTGCAACGGTCTAACGGAAGGTGATGAAAGTCTTTTTTTATTTTTTTATATTCATTTACATCCTCTATAAGTCTAAGACTATTGTAGGATGTGCACTCCATTTGGACTGCATATTCTAATACCTACTACATACAAGGTTGATGAAAGTCTTAAAAAAGAGCAAATCACTAGAAAGTGTTGTAACATTGTTCTGCGTGGACGTTGACCATCTTCCGTACTTCAGACATCACCCGGGGACGTGAGGATGACCAATCCTCGATTAGCGAAAAATTCTCGAAGTAGGGGTGGTACTTTGTGATACGCCTGGCGTGGTACCTGTATATGTATGGTTCTTGAATTACGACAATATCAGCCAAGGTTAGATCGGCTTCACTGAGAGCCATCTCGTGCGCTTAGCCTCCACGGCCGACATTTACAGATATTATTTTAAGAGGGCTTGTAGATTGCTTGTGACGGGGCAAGCTATTCATTGAAGTTCTGTTTGGCCGTTGCTCGGGTCCTCTACGTGGAGAGCTTCGTAGAGGTTGATGAAGTTTATTAAACAAGTTAAGGCTTGCTGGTTGCAGGATAAGTTGCGGCCCTAGACTCAGCTGAAGCTAGATTGGCTGGGGACTTTATGCAGCTAGCCTCTACTTGTTTACGAAGGCGAGCCTATGGTTTGATCAGATGGATGGTAACCACCTTACCCTTGATATTCGGAGAGCTAGTGGGGCTGGGTTGAAAATCGCAGTTGCTATCGTCCACAGGGTGAAGTCCGTGGTAGTGGATGCATCTGCTGGAGCGCCGCAGTTGTTTGAATGTTCTTCGTCGGAATGTGCGGAGGATCCGCAGAATCTGCACCTGGGATCAGAGGCGAAGGCGCAGGTGCGGGTATTGTACTAGAGCCAACATTAGGCACATTTTACTGTGGTGCAGCATTGTGGGGGGATTCTAGTCTGAGTTTGGCAGCCCATGAGGAAGAGGGTGCGCAGGATGCAGTTATGTGATTCAGGAAAACGGGCTATTTAGGTTGTGGAGGAAGAGGTCGGGTTTTTCTCGTTGCCGCGTGATACTGTGATGGCAGTCGGGGCTGCCCCGGCCGCAGCTGTAAGAACTGCTCAAATCTAAACATGCCAGACCGAACTGCACGCAGTGCGGAGTAGACTAAGACTACTCATCTTCAATCGCTACCAGCTTTGGTGAGGTCTCGGTTGGTAATGATCTCGGTGGTGTGAATATTATTCCATCACGTAATCAGAACACAGATAGACAATTAGATGTAGATTAAAAAACACCAACACTTTTAACTACCGAAATATAAGTTTAGTAAAACCAAAACCTCCCTGATCCTAACCTTTTATCTCGGATCCTTAAATCCCCAATATCTTACGATTCGTACAGTATTGACTTGACGATCAACGTTCACTTCTATCATTCCAGATACCCCCTAGAACTTTAATAAGGACGTCATGTAGTGCGGCTTCAGTAACAGACTAGAGGCAGTACTTCCATTATTCACCAACAAGTTTGATTGCGCAATATGAGCGTGGGACGTATTTGATTCGAAAGGATATCTAAGGGATAGCATTCTCTACAGGAGCGCCTCCGAAGAAACTATTTGCCGTGATATTCTCTTTAAGCGTTGCTGATTCCCGGTCCTTAGGGCAAAGAGCAGAGCCAGCCGTATTGGGCTGCACATTTCTGAGTAATTTTCCACCTTCCCCAATCCAGGACTTTAGATGAGTCTGGATAGCATATGCTGATTGATCCCGTAATTTGTATCTTTCCGGGACGCGAACAAACAAGCGATCATCAGGCCGAGAAGGCTTTTGTTAAAGTTTGCGGGCGCCGATGCTGTGCGTTTGACCGGGGTTTCGAGACAGCGTTGGCGTATGACATGGGCGCAGCGCCATTTGAAGCCTGTCTGGGTGGAAGGTTTTATATAGGATGTTCAACAGGCTTGTTGAAGAGGTAAGCATCAAAGCTTAGGGCGACAATTCGCGCCAGATCTTTGTAGAAATTGGAGAGTGATTCTACTTGGTTAGCAGGAATATCGGAGAGGTTGGCCATGCTGCACTTTTTGTCGAAGGTTACCGATATTCCTCCGAAAAGGACTTCTACTTCCTTGGCCCGAGCTGTTATGGAGTGGACACTCTTTCTTAGAATTTCTTTAATGGGGCCGTTAGGAGCATAATCGGTCATGGAGCTGTCGTCCGAGATGTCCTCATACACGAGAGTGTCGATATTCATGCTGGGCTACTGGCTCTGCTCCGGAGAGTCTCAGTCAGCAGTGGGAGGGTTGTGATTAAAGGTAATTTCGGGCGCTTGTCTCTGAGTGATGCGCTCCATTTCAGATAGTGCCCTCCCCGAAGGTGGACTATGCTCGGCTCTATTTGGATCGTATGGAGGCTTAACAATGTGAGGTGGTCTTCGCTGCGTCTTCAGGGAGAAGATTAGCGATGATGGTTTGCTATTTTCCTGTATGTTCCTAGTTTGCGCTTGAGTCGATAAAACGACTTGAACCAGCTTAGAATAGCAGAGAAAAGGTTTTGATGTTGGCTCAAGCTCACTAGGAAGTGCGTAGGGCGCCACTCACCTAGCATTTTAATGAAAAAGTCACATGAAACCAGACCCTTTTGATTAAAACATTTAGATTTACTTGTGTTAGCATACTTATGCTTGCACAAGTCTGGATCCAGTCCAAAAGTGAAGGCACGATCTTCGTGCAGGCATGTCGGGCTAGTAATGATAATCAGGGGCGTTAATATGGTAGAATTAGATATTATAGTACTACGAGTCCATCGTATCAGGAAGAAAATTAAACAATTCATTCTTGTATTCGCTTTCATTTTTTGAAGATTCACGTGACACTCACACGAAGTTCTCTCTAAGTTTTACAACTTGCCATGAGTCTGCCCTACCTTTTTAACAACAGCTGATAAGATAAAGTTGAATTATGACTAATTTGGCAAATGTCAGATGGTATAAAGGCACAAGGTGATAATATTATGATAGCCTCGGAAAATAATAGTGCTGTCTTATTGAAATCTAGACATATCAGACCGAACTTCACTCAGTGCGTACTAGACGAAGGCTGCTCATCTTCGATCGCTACCAGCTTTGGAGAGATATCGGTTGGTAATGATCTCGGCGATGGAAATATAATTCCATCATGTAATCAGAACACAATTTATCAACCTAAGAGAGGTGGAACATAGATAATTAGATGTAGATTATATCCTAAGATTTTTGAATAATATAAGGTCAATTAGATCAAAAAAGATATCTGATCCTCAACTCTCCAATATCTTAGACTTCATAGAGTATTGACTAGCCGGTCAACATTCACTTCTGTCATTCCAAATACCTCCGGACATTTAATACGTCTAGGGCCAAGATACCCGAAAATCATTGATTGAAAACTATCGGTTATCATCACAGTTTAAGGCAGCATTAACTTTATTCTCAAGATGTGACCAAACATTAAGCGGGTGACCATTACTTAGCGGAATATTCCAATAATTTATTTTAGAAATCCTTATCATTTTCACATCTCCCAAGATCCATCGAAGGACCAGCTTTTTTGTGAAGTTCTCCATGTTATTACGAGCCAAGGTTCCCTGGCTATTAACTAAGATTATATTACAAAGCAATGTCTGTAGAATTAAATTGAAGTTGATTTATTTTGGGTCTCCGACAGATTTGATCCTATGATAGAAGTCAAAATGTTCTTATGATTACTCGTAGCAGCCTGAACTCGTGTTATTGTCTCCATGTCACAACTCCGATAAACGCCTACCCCAATATTGCAACAGTGAGCCCCAGTGTTGATTTAGACACAAAGTCTGTAGCTTGCATACCGCCCGGCTGTTTCGGATTTTCGAATAATTTTAACCACCTGTCCACGTCTTAATCCAAGATAGCGAGCTACTGGGTCGCCTAGTTGAATTCTCGGAAGCTGCGTATCTTTCAAACGGTATCTATTGAGAACCGCAGTTCGCTCTTCTTTACTTAACAGGACATGCTTGGGTACAAGTTCATGATGAGTGATGTTGACGAGAAGATCTTGTTCCACGAAACATTCAATCTTTGTTTCATTCGCTACGGCTGGAATAATCTTCAAGGCGGCCGAAGTGATGCTTACGCACGTAATGAGGATGCCAGTATGAAAATTATTTGAAACGAGATGCTGTGCAAACGTGCGCATTTGCTTAATTCCGACGTTTGTATCAGGGAGAAATTCTATCCATATTGTACCTATGTCTGGGCTGTTGGGGTGAGGATCGTTTGCCGTAACAGGGTTACTGTACTTTTTCATCATAGCATCGCTTGGTCGGGCAGAAAATGTCATATTTTTGCGTCTTGGTTTTCCATTAGTATCGACTTCGAGAAAGTTTATTGGAGTTTTTACAATACGGATCCGTCATCGGCAGTATATTTGTGTTTAAAGTCATCAAAACTTATCTTCACCTCCTCTTCGGAAAGTTCATAGCCTCGATCTTGTACCATTTCATGAACTGTCCGCCATGCGCGCCAGAGTTTCGCTGCCTCCCTCTCGCTAGCTTCTCTGTGTTTTTTTGCGCGATCTTCTTCGCTAGACATCTTGACAGTAGCAATAGCTAAAGCGTTGTTTATCACTAATCACACAGTATGGGATAAATTGAGACGAATATACATCTCGGGACATGGAATCGCCTAGGCCAAAGTTATTTGCTAGCGTTTTTTACACGTGACTTTTACAATTTCCATAATAGGGGCCGGCAATTTAAAGCCGCGATGGGTCGTAGTAATGATTCAGCACACACAGTATTACTAGCAATTGTAAATATATTTACACACTTGTATATATCTAGACCTGAACCTTGATCTCAATCAAAGGGCCGCTTTCAAGGTTTACAGACTTCGTAGCCATGGTCGAATCCTCAGACGCAAATAGCAAAAAGGTTCTTGTTAAGCCTGAAAAGCCTGATGAAGATTTGTACAAAGCCAGCTTAAAGAAGGCTGAGAAAGAACATGCTGATTCTATTGCAAAACTAGTCTGTCTCTCTGTAACACACCAGCAGAAGAAGTTAACAATTGATCGCAGAGTGCCATTAAAAATCAACTAGAAATCGCGAAACCAATTTCTAGCGATTCACCATCTTCCAAGCAGCGTGCAGAACTCTTAGCCCGCCTCAAGGAGATCAGGGAAAAACAGATCGCCGGGAAATCCAGCCGTAACAGGCTTCTCGACCAGATTAAGAGAGAGGATGCCACCCTTAAGGAATTAATCGCACAGCAAAAAACTGCACGATCGCGAGTTAACTTCAAATCTGTTGAGGATCTGGACAGAGAGATTGATAGACTCGACAAACAAGTCAACACCGGAACAATGAAAATTGTGGATGAAAAGAAGGCTCTGAACGAAATATCTATGTTGCGCAAGCAACGAAAAAACTTTTCTGGGTTTGAAGAATCTCAAAAAAACATTGATGCAAAGAAATCTCTAATCAAGGAGCTTCGTGATCAATTCGACGATCCGGAGAGCAAGGCCCTCTCTGATCAGTACAATAATATCCAGGCTCAACTTGATGAAATCAAAGCGCAACAAGACGAGGCCTACAAAAGTATTAACAGTCTCCGTGACGAGCGAAAGAGGCTTCAAGATGATCAACAGGCTAAATATCTCGCGATCAGAGAGATAAAAGATAATTACTATGAACAAAACCGAGCCGTTCAAAAGTGGGAATACGAAGTTCGTCAGAAGGCTAGAGACAAGAAAAGAGCTGACGAAGAAAGACTTCAACAAGAAAAGAAGAAGACGCGTGCTCAGCAAATCCTAGCTGAAGCAAGTGATAAGGCCTACCTTGACGAAATTCGACGTGCCCATAGTCTACTTCATTTCCTGGATCCTTCATTTACCGCAGAAAAGGCGCCACTTCTAGCCCCATCAAAATTCCAAGCACTTCCTCAACGTCAGGTAGATGCCTCTGGGATCAAAGGAGTAAGGATTGCAAAGAAAGAGGAAGAAGATTATTTCGCTGGCAATGCTGGAAAAAAGGGGAAAAAAAGCAAGAAGTCTACCCCTGGAGAAGGAAAGTATTCTTGCCCTCCTTCTGTGATGGAAGACTGTACTTTCATGGGAATTGAGCCCCCAATGAGTGCTGCAGAAATACCAGCTGTCAAGGAGAAAGTTCTAGCAAAACTCTCATTCTGGAAGGCTGATCAAGAAGACGAAACCGAAAGAGTCAGTGAAACCCACATGTGCCACTTTACTTTTCACTAACCATCTTTAAACTAGAATTATACAAAAGCAAAAAAAGAACTCGAACGTCTAGAAGCAGAGGAGGCTGCTGCATCGACTATCAACGTAACCGGACACTTTCTACCTCATGCTAATGGCGATGGTAAGGCTACTGCCACCCCTGGCGAAGGCGGAAGTGCCAGAAACGAATTAGCACTTGAAATGGAAGCCCAAGCCGATGTAAGCATAGAACTTAAAGCCGTCTCGTTGGAGGAGAGGACATGAGCAAGGCAACAACATATCGCAACTAATTCCTCAGGGTTTCACACAATCTTCATATGTATCGACTCGTCCCTTGCTCCACCTGCTGGACGGATAAGTATGGGAAAACTCCCTTGTGTAAACATGAGCGAGGCAAACAATCATACCTGTTGCCATGTGTCATGACTTGTACAAGAGGATATTTATCAAAATGGATGTAGTAACATACTGGGTATTCAATTCATTGTAACAATATATAAATATATATGAAAAAACTCTGATACTATGCTAGGCTAAAATGTACGTAAATATTGACGCTTTAAGATTTATAAATAATCTGAATACTCAATTTATTTCGCTGAACAGAATCGCTACAGAAATTGACAAAACGTAGGCTTCTGATTTATTTTGTATGAATCGGTCGTGAAAATTCCAATCAAAACACATGACTTCCACTTTTTCGAAGGTGGAACAATCTCAGAGATCATGTTTAGGGGTACGCCCTTGGTGGCGATGGTGGTATTGGACCCCTCCCGTATTCTACATTGCCTGGATGCATAACTCCAATCGGCTCTCGTTCCCGCTCCCGCTCTCGCTCCCGATGTCTTCTGTGTTCATTATTTGGACGCTCTCTTGTACGGCTATGCCGCCGTCTCCTATGATCCCCATCTTCCATATTTTCGACTTGCCTTATCTTCGGCATTCGTTTCCTCCTGGAGAGGGAAGATGATCTCAGAGAAAGTTCGCATACGTTCTTATCATTCTCACTCGGCAGAGTAATATTCACCAAGCCGTAGAAGTACTCTAAGACCTCGGGATATCGAAGGCAGCTATCCTTCCAGTCTGAGTCAACGCCGCGCTTGTACTCAGCCTCAGCATAGGAGATATCGGAGGGATGCGGCATTGCGTTGTAGACATAAGCTGCATGTTGCGTGAGCTGTTGGATATTCTTCATATGCGACTCCTTGCGACGGTCAGCGAGAAAATAGAAGTAGTTGAGCACGTAGTCTCGAGCGTGGCTGTTGACCCAATCCCTATTTTCCATGGGCGTGGTATTAGCCAAAAGAGGATTTGACTTAGTTCTCCGCCGCCAGTGCATTTAGAGGAATGGTGGCCTGATCGAGCATGAGAGGAACTTACCGCATTTTGCTGTACACGGCTCCCATCACTTTGTGTTCGGCTTCAAGGGTGAGGGTCTCTAGTACGGTAGCCTCGCAATCGCATTGTACTCCGGCTGGCTGGTGGCAGATGGCACAATCTGGGTCGGGCCGGGTGCAGGCGGAATTGCCTTGGTTCATCTTGTAGTCGTGGGGCATGTATGGGTTCTACGATGCTTGATTAACATTGTCATGCCTAGTAGATTCAGGCCAAGTTATCGGTATCTGAGAGATCACCATACTGAGGAAGCGGTGGCCAACGCATGTAGTCACCGTGAGTTGTCTCGTGAGGAGGGAGTGAAGGTGTAGCAAAGATAAGGAAGGTTGGTGACCTACATTGTAGGGAAATGGTGGCGGATTATTCATGGCTTGCGAGACGACGAGTCGCCCAGCTCTTCCTTTGACTAAGAAACACCTGTTGCCGTCTTTAGTGATGAAGGTGAGAAATTCGGGCTAACTGAGATGAGGACCAGAGCAGGAGTTTGGGGACTACGCTGCCTGAATAGCATCGAGTATTGTAGCGGAGGCCTCGAACGCTTGCTCAGCGTGTCATGCAGTTTGTTACCGTAAGTGCCGTTCACCGCCAGCTCTACAGCCTCGACATATCTCGGCAAGATCGCAACGAGTCTGCCAGGCTTATCGACTTGAGATGTATGAGCTAATCGCTTAACTTATTTCGTGTCAGGCGCCTTGGCCAGGCGTTAACAGCCTTCTCTTCCAGCCATTCATTACCATGCCACTGCGGTGTCGAACCTTACACACTGCTCTAAAGCGCCATTTTCATACGTCACGGCCTCTGACACTGCACCCTACTACACTTCGATGGTTAGAGGAAGAAGGAAAAGTCAATTTGATCCCAACTTCGACGGCTCTTGAACCGGACCTCACATGTAGCCACCTGCCCGAAGAAGGCTCACATCTGAATCCTCCTCCCTCTGAATATGCACGCACAATCTTTGCCGACCGGGCAACTATCACAATCTTCTCGGGACTTGGCGGCCATGGTTGTGTGTCATTTTTGCGCGAAAAGTATATCGAAGCTGGTCCTCCGAATGGTGGCGATGGTGGCACTGGAGGCAATGTCTACATACAGGCGTTACACGGGGAAACATCTCTTCATAAGCTAGCCCGGCGCAATATTCTGCGGGCCGGGCGCGGGAAGAATGGTCAAGGAAAATTAAAAGGTGGCGAACGAGGGGAAGATGTGGTTATACAGGTTCCCGTAGGCACAGTAGTTCGGGAAATTGAGCGTTTTGATCCCATAGCCGCAGAAGAAAGTAAGCCAAATCTAGCATATGGTCACGAAGACGATGAATCTGCTCAACGTAGGCAGAGACGTGAGAAGTGGTTACTCTATCCAACTGTTTCGCCGGGAGATATTCCTACTTCGGAATTTCCACGCTTGCCACGGGCTCGGAAATCAGCCATGAGCGCGGCACAGGTTCCGGCCCCAATATCGCTAGATTTAAATATGCCAATGGAAACGTCTTTACTGCTTGCAGCCGGCGCGATCGGCGGACTAGGAAATACTCATTTTGTGTCCAAGACGTGTCCAAGACCAAAATATGCTACCAAGGGCGAGGAGGGAATCAGAATCACGCTAGAATTAGAGCTTAAGCTGCTTGCTGACGTCGGTTTAGTAGGGCTTCCCAACGCAGGAAAGAGCACTCTATTGCGAGCCCTAACTAAAAGTCGAACACGAGTCGGTAGTTGGGCATTTACAACCCTTCAACCCAACATCGGTACTGTTGTTTTGGACAACTACAAGGGCCGACCATTTTCGAAAGCTAGATTTAAGAATGGAGAGCCACGAACAATATTTACCATTGCAGATATACCTGGACTAGTCAAGAATGCTCATTTGGATCGTGGCCTCGGAATCAGCTTTTTGCGACATGTCGAGAGAGCCAGGGTGCTCGCCTTTGTACTTGATCTGAATGCAGGGGACGCAGTTGAGGCACTTAAGGCGCTCTGGAAAGAAGTTGGAATGTATGAAAAATTGAAAGGAGAAGAGACCGTTGAGGGAAGTCAAATGGATGTCCAGTGGACTCCATTTACTTCTCCGCAGGAAGCTCTGGAAAATCGTCAAGAGACTATTGTAGTTCCTTCGGGACCAGACTTTGAAAATCCTTTGGCCCCAGGAAAAATCAGTATCGCATCCAAACCCTGGTTTGTTGTCGCTACAAAGGCTGATTATCCTGGTACTGAAGAGAACTTCTCTAGGCTCAAGGATTATCTCGAAGAAGTTGGCAATGGCCTCGTTCAGCACCCAAGTTTACACCAGGGGGCTTGGGCAGAAAAAGTTGCGGCCATTCCAGTGAGTGCCATCAACAAGCTTGGGACTGATAAGATAGTGGAGTGGACAATCGGCTTACTAAATGATTAAATTCATCTTCTAACATTTCAAATTCCTAAAAAATCGCTATGTTCATGACTACTGCTTATAGTCAGGCTTCTAGGTGTTAAAATTGAATTTTTGGAATCAAATAAGTATTTATAGGCTAAAATCCTTTTCATATCGCAACAATTGTGGATACATCCTGTGTCGATCAACTTCAATCCCGAATGGAAAGTACCGATCAACATTTGAGTTCAATCCAATTACTCGACATTAATGGTCTAGATCAGTGTCACGCGTAACTAGTAGAAGAATAGGTGCCTCGTTGTGGATGATTTCTTAAAATAGGGCTAATCTCTAGAAGCGGCATCGCCTTGGATGGATCGATGTAAGATACTTGTAATAAGTTTTTCATCGTAATAAATGTAAAGTAATTAACTAAATCTAATGCTTAACTGCAGGATAATTCTTTGCAGAAATTTTACAATTTGATTAAAGCAGTTTGAAGAACAAGCCAGCATAGTCTCCCGTAATTTGACGCAATATTGTGTTGAGATATAGATAGCCAAGAAATAGTTGTAACTAAGACTAGACTATAGCTGTGACCACTTTGTAAGAATCAAGGGCAGACATCTCAACTGGACTGGTCATAAAAAATTTCATAGGTCAGCACTTGCGTTCCCTCTCAGGCAAGAGGCACTAAATCATGTTCCCACCTATGATTGAATTATTATCCAAGAAGATTATGATATTACGTTCACGAAGTATGGCACGAGTAACTGATGCTCTGGAGCTTGTAATCAAATGAACTGTTGATTGAAAACTGTTGAAAAAGCCGGCATGAACCCTAGAATAATGCAGCCAGAAAGACCTATCGCGGTCATGTGGCATAACTGCGGGTCTTGCAAGACAGCCTAGAACCTGCAAGCGATACGAGGATAATACATGTTTGGGACTCGTGGAAAGCCGGCCTCCAATACAATTGTCGGGCGGGTATCGAGACGATATGCTCCTGCGAGTTGACCAAGTCGATCTAAACTCTTGTTGCGCCGCTTTGATGGCGGTTAGAGTGGGGACGAACACAACGGTGCTGTCTGTCGTGGTGATCTCCGATGTAGCTTGAATAACCTGGGCACTTACCCCACTCGGGAAGGAGACGCCTCAGAACACACTTCGCGCGGAGAAAAGTAAATGGATGATGGAGGCATATCTGCACAACTCAGGGATTTTGAGGCGTTCCCCTGCGTGGGTATTCACGGATGAGGGTTGACTTGGGGTGAAGAAAAAGCCACCATAACTTCGCAGTGGTACCTGCAAATGAAATCCGAGGCATGAGTGCTCTTCTTGTAAATTGAGTCATCTTTTCTGTACTTTTCTTTGATATTGTATCATAGCTAGATAGCTGCATACGCAATTAAAATCTGATGCAAAAAAAGATGAATACAGCTCTCGCCAGTACCCTTAACGGCACCAAAAATGTTGGACTGGCTCACTTTACAGCCATCATACTCTGTCAAGACTTTTCTGATATTTTAGCACGACCTTGGGGAGAGGGTTGGATGGAGGCTAGAAAAGCGGAGTGTGACCTTCCTTTGGAACCGGCAAGTCTGCAGCACCCAGCTGACTGGCCTGTTCGAAAATTTCAAGAGAGATATTTTGAGCTCGAATCTAGTTCTATTGTCAGTATTAGGAGAGTCCTGCACTCAGTGGATCTTGCAATTTTCACCGGCTGCCAAAAACCCGCAAATTACCATTGTTTCTTTGGCTAGGCAGAGTGGAGATAATGAAGGGTCAAGAGCTCCGCCGTGTATGTGATAGAACGAGGCTATGATTGGCATTATGGTTTGAAGGAGCCGTATAAAATGCATATGAGGGGATATACTACTAGATAGGCATCATTTTTTCGTTTGAATCAGTTTTTAATTTCACAAGCAGCTATCTATACATGAAACAATATCAATGAAAAATTACAGAACAGAAGACTTATGTTAAAACTGGAGCAATAATGCCTCGGATTTCATTTGCAAATACCGGTGCGAAGTTATGGTGGCTCTTTCTTTACCCCAAGTCAGCCTTCTTCCATGAATACCAACCCATGAAAACATCTCAAAACCCATGAGTTGTGCAGACATGTCTGTCATCCATTTAGTTTTCTCCGCGTGAAATGTGTATTGGAACATTTTCGGGTAATTGATGATATTAGAATGATTTGAATACTGATCCTGATAATATTCGATTGATTGATTGCTTTGTTACATCTATCTGAATATGAAGATATCACTATATAATATACAAATCTCTTGTGCTAGCCTTTACTCCACATGACTACGCCAGTACTACTTGATCGTGACCTGAGACTCATTGACTCAGTTACATCTCTCATTGCCTACGTATCACTAGACCATAGGTTCGCAACTATGACACAATACTTAGTATATATGATACTCCTTAGCAGTAACTTCCTGACCTGGATGCTTCACCCAAGCATAGATAAGTCTACCTCAAACTGGTCATAAGTGCTAGTTTGCCGCCCCTGTTAAGGTATCTGTCATAGACCTTGTATCTGTCGTAAATAGACATCTACAAGTAATGCTCACGATATTCCAGCAGTGTGGTCTTAGTTGTCTCTTTCCCAAGTAGAATAGGCGCCCAGGCTACTAAAACTATACCAGAGAACACCACTAGGAGATGGACAACGACATTCTCCATCGTTGGCTTGTTTTTTAGTGTCAGCTGCACTCTCAAAATCCAAAGCTTGAAGAGCACTATGCTTCTCAATATGTAAATCTCCTCGCCAGAATCCAAAATATTACACCTGTCAAGACTTTATCTATCCTTTGTGTTATAAAACAAGTTCGTGATCTATACGATCGATCGAAGTAACCAGTTTATCCAGATTCTCTAAAATAAAGAGAATCTAAGAGTCGGTCTATGTTGTGCTCGAGAAGAGTTCGTAATAGAACTATATTTTACAGGTATTAATCCAGCGGGCCTAGGATCCGTGACACTTGGTATCACCTTGGATACTGGTCCTGATTTCTCTCATGCCCATCGCAAAGAACTGTCTGGCGCAAGAAGCCACCAAATCAACGCTCCCGAGAGCGGTCGACGCTCGCTTGATCCCTGCTGGAAGCGGTCATGGGGACTTTGGGGCATATAACTACCGCTTCAACCACACTACAGCCGCACTACAGCCGCACTTTATTGCGAGTGCTGTAGGGAAATTGAATCGGTCACCTTTTCCAGTGAAGAAAGGCACTAGAAACATAACGGCTGAAACGTGGAAGGCGGAGGTCGCCAGCTCTTGAAACTATGCTCGGATCATGTGGATGGCAAGTGTTCAAGAAGTACGTCCGGGGTGATAGAACATTTGCGGTGGAGAGTCCAGGCGGCGGTGCGGTGATATTGCCAGGAATTTTGTGAGACAGGAGCCATTGGGTATTGTATCATAACAGAAATTTAAATTAGACGAAGTTCTGATGAGTGGTGCCCGAGGTAGAAGCATGTAAGACACATAGTTTATGTTTTTTCTTTTGTAATGCGGGATCTCTCAATGGAGTTTTCTTTTCAGTGGTTTTATTCTGCGCTGCTGCATTTGTTATGATACAGTCACAGATTCATTACGGCGTGGTTCCGGTCTTTCAGGTGGGGCGAGGCACTTGTAATTCATGTTAGTCGACCTTATCCGGCCCGGCCCCACTCGTGCTTAAGCTCCGGTAGGAGTGTGGATCCTGAAAAGATCTACATTGTCACGGGTTAGTCAGATTTTGGATGTACGGCACATAGACAAAATGCTATTGTCTTATGGTCTCACACGATCAGATCGCACAGTCACAAGAGCAGATCTCACTGGAGCTGAAGGGTAACAGAGTATTGAGGTATATAGGCGCATAGATATCCTACAATTAGGGACAGATAGGAATTCACATATTAGTCTCAAGCTCTACACAAGATCCATTGTAGTTGTAGGGCACGACCCTCATCATCTATTGGCAAAAATTGAACACAACCACATACAAATTTACTGTTAACTTTAAAGCTATTTAGATAGTTTTAGCTGTCCTTCATAGTCATAGACTCAGTAGGGACATAAATAAAATTCTATTCTATTCTATTCCATTGTAGTTAGGAGCCACGAGATACCACGTGATAACATTTCATTCTTACGCACACACACCCACAATTTACTAGGTACACAACGCGCGCCTAGAAACCTCAGGAGTGCGATGAATATCATATAACTAGCACGTTAATGAACAAACAAAGAGCTACCTCCTAAGCTACTTAACTTGCGCGCCACAATGTTTCGTCCATCGGACACAGATATCGGTGTTGGCGTGTACAGTCAGACCCCTGTTGAGACGATGTGATCGGGGCCATGAAAAATATCGTCATATAGAGGATATCGCTGTAAAGGATATGATTATATAATCCAGCTATCTAGGCTACTTTTTACCTTTGATGCCTCTTTTATACTCTCAATTGCCGTCTTTAATCGCTCTAATACTCTCAAGGTCAGGTCAGCTTCCAGCTCGCTGTCGTAGCGCAGTAGTACTTGGAGCTTCGTCGAGTTTCGCAAAGATCTTGCTCAGGGACTCAGAGACTGTGGACTGGCTTAATCAGTGGCCGTACTTAGCGAAGAACCACTCAATGCACTAATTCTATGATGGTTTTAGGGCCTGGCGGTGCGCCCATAGTCACTGAGCACGTCGTTGCTCTACAGAAATTTCCTTTTTTTTTGAATCATATTGTATTCAGTGGAAATTTCCTTTGTTGCCGGCATTATTAGCACCAATCTTACTGTCGAATGACCTAATGACTTAATGACCTTTCATGTATTATCTTAGAAATGATGACTAATTATGTTGATGAATAATGGGTTACCTGTTTAGGAATAGCGTCAGGAGAGAGAGACAACTGCTGTATATACGTGTTTCTTTAAGTGAGAAGGGAAGAAATAGAAGATATATGTTAACCACCAATTGTTATTACTGCTACAGAAGGCTTGTGATATAATTCCACTCGAGTATTCCGACACTTAACAAAAA